TAGGCTAAAGTCATTTTTTGACCTTCTGTTTTTCTTCATGTTGCAGGATTGACCATAGATGCCCGTAACGGTAGGAATGGTCCCACCGCGGTGGCGTGAAAGTATATTGCACTTTCCATGCGATCACAAAACTGTACAAATGTAATGCTAGACGGCGCGTCGCCAGTCGCCAGCCAGCCGCCGCCCCGAACACTGCGCCCGCTACCCTGCCGCCACTGAAGATGTCCACCACAGACGTGGACGAAACGTTTGGCCGAACAATGCCAACTGGACCACGGCCTACCAGCCCGGAAAATCTATCTTGAATTCTCAGTATGTTATTGTACACTGTTAACTCACATATATAACTGAATTTTGACTTGACCATTTGGTAAATATTAATATTCTATATTACGAAAGCACCAAAAAAACTTCAGATGTTGGCTCCCTTAGAGTATATCTACCCCAGGGGCGTAGCGTGGATTTTTTAAGAGCGGAAGCGCCATATTCTGTATTCAACTTACGTTGTGCACGGAAGATTCATGGACCTCTGTAATTAAAAGTACCTTATTAATGGAACATGGAACATTTCTTGATAAAAATGTTTATTCTCAGTATTGTTATCAGAAAATAAATATCTTTCTTTCTGTACTTGGACATGTTTTAGTTAGTTTTACTCGTCAATAAAGCGACACAAGGAATACACAGAAATTCGTATTTATCTATCAAGGGCATAGGTCGAGATGACATCCTGGAGAGATGTTTCATCCGGAATTTAAAATGATCTGTTTTGGCAAAAAAAATTGTTTATCAAATACACATAGATCTTTCCTCATGTGTTGTACTAGGAAAAATTCGACCGGCACATTGCCATCACATTGCAGTCAGTCTTACTGGCAGGACAATCTGAAACCCTCAATGCTAATTTCCTCACTAAAGAGTAGGTTGTTTACTATTCCTTATTACTTGGTACAGTTTCCCCCAAAAACGTCTTTACATTAGATGAGAAAGTCCAAGCATACTTTATAACTCTCAAATTTAATCAACTTAACGAACAAAATATCCCTAAATAATGACGCAGGATAATTTCTCTCCTTCATTCACGTTTATCACGTTTCTAAATTTAACGAAGTGATATCGGAAGGTTTCATAAGGAAAAATCAAAATGATGATGTAATGTATTAACCTTTATTTTTAAACAATTACATTTTAAAATTAAGTTTAATTCTTCTTGGTTTTCGGGCATATTCATCAATGACATCATTAAAAAACGATGGCCTTGTCATTATCATGTCTAAAAGCTGACTCTCGATATTCAGTAAGGACAAACTAGAAAGTCTTTCATCACTTTGTGAATTTCGAAGGTACTTTTTTAATCTCCACCGACGCACTTGTAGCTGGTATAGTGAGAATCAGAACGGTCAGTTTATAGGTTTGGGGAAAGACTTCTAATTCATGCTGCTTGATATAATCATTTAATTTATCGACCCACTTGTGGAACTCACTATCCAAGTAAATGGCAGTGAGCTCACTTCTCAGTCGCGCAGAGTCAAAATGCCTTCCATAAACGTCCATTAGACAACTAAAAGCTTCAATGGGAAATGACGATTGATACCTTAAATAAAGATCAGGGTTAAGAAGGCTTAGGAATTTCAGTTTATATGTATTACAAAATCTATCAGATCCATGACATATTAAGTTGTCTATAACTTCTAAAAATAATCTCTTGTACACATTCTTTTCATTCTCCCTATTTTCTACCCTGGCTCGCTGAAATTCGCCACTTTCTCTGTTGTAACCTTTCCAAAAGCAATCAAACGTGTCTCGAAACAGTTTCAGATATTTCCCAAAATCTTCGATCTTTTTCATGCAATACATTATGTCATTGGACTTATTTTGTAAAATTTTAAATAATGAGTCACAATGAGGAAAAATACATGAAAAAAAAGTTAAGAAAAAATTTAAGTCAAAGTCCTTCAAAGTATTGAAATGGCCACGAGCAGAGTACACAGTTTCAGCGTCCCAGTCACTTGAATTTTCTGTCACTGAAGCAAATAATTCCTGCAGATCACTGTTATGATTTTTCACAGTTTGTACAAGTCTGCTGGTGAAATTCCAACGTGTTGTTGCAGCTGAAGGTAATCGCTTTTTCACCACAGTGTCTAGAGCTTCAATCCGCCTAGTGGATTTAGAAAAGAATGCCCCTAGTCCTGACAAACAGGCGAAAAATATTCGCACTTCCTTAATACAGCTAGCAGATTGTCTTAAGACTAAATTTAATTTGTGGGCATAACAATGCACAAATATTGCTTCTTTACAAATTTTCTTTAATTTTGCCTGAAGACTAGCATGTTCCCCTGCCATAACTGCTGCGCCGTCATACGTTAGCGCTATTACTTTTGTTTCGCACTTATACGTGTTAAAAACGCCTTTTGCGTGTTCAAATAATCCAGATGGGGATCTGTATTTGCTGCAGTCAGTAAAATGCAAGAATCTTTCTTGAACTCCATTCTTTGAAACATACCGCAACACGGTTATGAGTTGTGATTTCATGGTCACATCAGTCGTTTCATCAAATATCAATGCCATAAATTGAGTCTCAGAAATCTCCTTCTCAATTTCTCTGTGCATAACTTCCGCAACTGCCGCGATAACATCATTCTGGACGTCAGGAGATGTTCCACGAAACACGTTGTTGCTTTCAATAAGAGCCAAGAGTTCAGGATTATAATAACCCAAAAATTTCAGAATTTCAATATAGTTGCCTCGATTATGAGACTCGACAGTTTCATTGTGTCCGCGAAACGCCAATCCCAGTTTTCCTAGAAGACAAACCACTCTGATAATATGCGTCAACATTTCTCTGTTCTTTTTAACTTCTACGTTGTGACGTTGTACAGACAACCGAAACTGCTCATTCAGACTGCATTCAATTCTCCGTTTTCCAAACAGTTTGAATTTTTTGGGGGATAGAATGTGAGAAACTAAAGTTTCCTGGCGAGCCTGTGCTTTGTGAATATTGTGAAGATCATCGAATCCTCCTTGCGTCCACACAGATTTCTCTTTAGAAAACAATAAACATGGCCAACAGAATAATTTATTTGTTTTTCTGCACCCACTAATCCACGGAACATTTTCGTATATTTGTGCACGAAAATGTCGTATGAAATTCTTCTTCCGTTTCGAACGACACTCAATATGAAGTTCTGATGTAGGTTTTCCGGTCGCAATAATTTTTTATTTTTCCTCAAAAGAACGGCTAGAAATGCGTTTTGTTTTAAATGTTTAATTGCACATCCACACACTAGAGACGGTGATGCTCCATCACCACCGTTCGAAGTCACGGGGCAGGTTGCAGCCGCAGCCCCTTCCATACCGCTGTGGAAGCGCCGACCCGTAGCGCGTCCGTCTGCCTAATAACCTACGTTAGGAACACGTTCAAACAGTTACGGAGGAATCTCCAAAATTATGAAGAAAATTATGAGAAAATGGAGTTGTCCATGAACACTGATACTTACACGTGCCTTGATGCTTGGTTCACGCTTTATTCACAGTTCAGTATTCACGTTTCAATCACAGTCCTTGACAAGCAAAACACACTTTTTCATCTGAACCACGGAGGTCTCCTAAGGGCTGCGCGTCTTGTAGCCTCGCACAGGGTACACAAATTTTCCCGCGCCGTCCGCCCTATTCGAACTATAATAGCCTAGCCTCCTCTGATAATCTTCAGGGCGAGGGAAATACGAAGAAGCGCATGAAAAACGAGACCACGAAAGCCCCGCAGAGTACAAACTATAGAAATTCCAACATTTCGTTTAGCTTTATGAGCGGACTAATTCATTTAAAATATAAAAATTTGTGATGGCAATTCGTAAGGGAAGCAGCGCTTCCAGAGCGTCCGTGGACGCTACGCCTCTGATCTACCCATTAGAACTTGATGTCCATTACTTCACTACATTGACAAATAATTTTGGTACATTTACTGACCTCACTGTTTATCACTTTTGAAATTATTATAATACTTAGGTCCAAGAGTACACTGATATTTTCTTTAATAGCACGTTGGAAGGGAGAACTAAAATATTGGATTTCAGGTATATTCTCCTGTTTACATTGAAACCAACTGCTTCAACCTACAGAATAAATACAAACATTCAAAAGGATGTTCCAGAATAAACTTAAATAGGGATAAACTAATATTTAAATAATTTACAATCATTATCACTACTTTTCTGAGCTGAACACATATCTAATAGCTTGCAACTCTTTAAATATATTTTCAAAATCTTCCTTATAGCCAGAAGTATTTCCAAATAGTCCTTCTGCCTCCTCTGCATAACTTCAAGAGAATTAGCCATATTTCTAGTGCAGATGAAACAGCGGTTTATTACCATGTGTATTGGACAATACCTGAAAATATAATATAATACAATACCTGAAAATAAAGCAGTAGTTAGCAACAATTACTCCTATTTATTTAAATCATTGTAAAGAATATGACTCATCCTTGAAGAATACTGCAATGTTGCAGATTTCCAAATCTTAACATGCCGCTGAAAACAATACGCAAACAAATCACAAGAGCTCGAAAAAACATGATGTCGTTGCACGACCACGGCCGGTTCACTCAATGTTAAACGGCGGGGAATATTACAAATCTTCTCCAATACCATATGAAATAATATAATTACCATACTTTTAAACAAATAGAACCGAATAAATGACATGTGTACTTAGGTTAGGTTATACTACATGGATTTAAGTATCTTTAAGACTATTTCGCATGGTGTAAATGAAATAATCAATTACAATTATGCAACAATTTTCCAAAATGAATTATAAATACCTCCACAGCTGGTAGGGCGAAAATTCTAGCAATGTGTTTGTCTACCACCAGTCTTCTTTAATATTATCTAACAAAATACCGAAAACAATGTTTCAGACACGGCAAATAAATATCGCGACGCAATTCACTCTACTTAGAAGGCAAGACATTCTACTAGTACATACTAACAAAATGCTTAAAAAAGGTATTTAATGTCTCATTTTCAAATATACATAATTCATTATTGTTTCCATTTCTAGAAAAGGTACACTCTCATTAGTGTATGATGAAATGTAATTAATTTAATTTGCTTAGGGGTACGAGTTATGTTTGCATTCTGGAGGTGATATTCAAGTTGCTGTATGTTTTGAGGAGATAACTAGCAAGATATAAAAGAATTTGACTTCACCAACATTAGAAAATGGAATTGTATCAACAGTGCTTCTGACACACCCAGCCCTCTTGCCTTCTCAAAGAACATTCCAAGAA